GGTGACCAGAGATTGGAACCACAACCTGAGAAGATAAGTGCAATTGAACAAGCGCTGAGACCTGAGACAAAGACACAGTTGAGATCATTCCTTGGTTTAGCTGGGTTTTACCGGAAGTTCATCGCAAACTTTGCATCTATTGCAGTACCTTTAACGGAGTTGACCAAGAAGGGGTTCCCAAATAGATTGGAATGGGGTGATAGTCAGGAGAAGGCATTTGAAACTTTGAAGAGGGCATTGACAGCAAAACCTATTCTAAAACTTCCTGATCTCAATGAGGATTTCATCCTGAGGACAGATGCATCTGATACCGGATTAGGGGCGGTACTACTGCAGATTGAGGAGGGTTTGAAGTTACCTGTCGCGTACGCGATTAGGAAGTTGTTACAGAGGGAGCGGAATTACGCAGTGGTTGAGAAAGAGTGTTTGGCCATTGTATGGGCTGTCCAGAAATTCGAACAATACCTGTACGGGAAGGAATTTGTGTTGGAAACAGACCACCAGCCACTCACCTACCTACAACGCTCGAAAACTGCCAACGGTCGTCTGATGCGATGGGCTCTACTTCTTCAACCTTACCGGTTTAGAATTCAGGCAATTCGAGGAAGTGACAATATTGGGGCCGACTATCTCAGTAGGTCATAAATTCACCATGATTGTTAAGTCAGTATTTCCAATGCGTCGTGAATGAACTAAAAGTGTAACCACTTTCTTCGGAAAGGGGGGATGTGTCACGATCGCATATTGGTAGAGGAATGTTGTATATATATATTTATGTTAGTATTGATAATGTATATTGTTTTATACTTATTTGTATGAATCTCGGTTTTTAAATATTCCCGCTTCGAGGTAAGTATGCGTTTGCCAGAGCGTCCGAGAGTGGTCAAAGTACTACACGAGAGCCGATCTGTCCAAGATGGACGTGTATGTCAACGTGCCATAAAAAACCACCCGGACTTCAGACACATAACACCTGAGATGTGGTAAGTCAGTATTATAGTGATTTTGTTGCTAATTATACGCTATATATGTTGCATCAGTTACTGGTGAATGACCTCGTAGTTAGTTTTGTAACAATAAGTCCGTATAATCCATTTTGTTTTCATTGATGCTTCTTCTGTAGAACATTTAGACAGCAGTAAATTGATTTGATGACAAGAAATTGGAAAATAGCGCAAAAAACAAGCAACATATCACGAATGACAAATGATTGAACACTATCTACAAGTTTTATAACGACGATTCCATTGAGTGGTACGTTGGTTTAATGGTTACAGCATCAGGTCTCCGTGCATTTTGCATTGCTGTTGTGGGATACGCTCGGCCAGACACACTGTGTCACACTATCACAAAATGAGTATTTGTATGGCGATAAATAATTCCTAAATGATTCAGAAACAAACCAAACCAAACCAAAGAGCTGATATTAATCAGTCTCATTGGATCAATCTTAAATTACTCGCTATTCAATCAATACTGGTATAAAACAGAGAATTATCAAAGACGGAATGTTACAAAGGACCTGAAGAAGTTCTTGCAAAAATAATTTCTTATCAAGAGCAAAGACAATGACGTCATCTGTGATAGATGCACAGATTCAGAATTAGGCTTCCATCAAAATCAGAACTTTCAACCTCCGTCGAAGAAAAGATATATAATTATGTTTCATATAATAAATTATGTGTAGAAACTGAAATACAATATTACTTCCGAGACATACCTTTTGTTATTATATTAATTTTGAAGTATTCCATAAACATGCAGGTGCCACCTGACAAGCAGGCATAATGGCAGCATCAACACCCATATGGATAACGGTATAGTGGAACATTTGTTGCTGGTAGGCTGATGATGTAAAGTCACATGGCAAATGTAAATATATACTATTTGTTATTAAACTCATGATTAAAACCCATTTTTACTGTCTCCGATATAGCGTTGCTATGGTATAAATATGGTTGCTATGGACGTTTTTGGTATTCAAATGACAATACCAAATTATTTTCGTTTTCTTATCCTAATACACTTCAATGACAATTATTAATTGTCAAAGCTGAAACGAAACAAAAAGGTAAGAAGAAAATCTGTACATTTCTGTCGTAAAAATGATCGACGTTGCTAGGGCTGTTGTTAAGGACTGCAAATCCCCATTGATAAAAAACTATGTTTTAAACCTATTCCCATTCATACAAGTATGTGGTATAAATATAAATACGAAAACAATCCAAGACAGGGTCAAAAATGACCCTTCGTGAATCTACTCCTTTAATTAATGTGCACAATGCGTCTGTTTTTACCGATGGTCTGAGTGGTTTAAAGGTGACTCATTAATATGTACCGCCTCGATTGTTTTATGAGAAATTTCGCTGCACACACATAACAATCACGACATCGGTTTTTAAGGCACAACATGAGCAGTGCTGGGATCGTACCTATAGCCTTCACGATAGCCAGATGATCAGCTGTATGTGTCTAAAGGAGTTCCTGGATAGCAGTTTAACGCCAAACTTCAGATAACACACCTTAATACCTAGTCAAATGACCCATACATTGTCTGATATAATACCCTTGCCCTTCCTCTAGTGTACATGTACGTTACAGTGGATTCATGCTCTCCCAATGGTGTACACTCACAGTGGACAAGCTGGATATCTCATTATAGGCTTGCTTCTAGCCAGTATGTTCCCACATAGAGCTGTGGCGGGTTGCTATGCCTATTTTCCCAAAGCTATGATCCGCTAGTGCGCGCATCCAACCATCCATTGTTATGACGCGTCCTCAGGTATTTAATTGTATACATGTAGCTCTATCGGATCCCGTGTCTAAGAATAGATTATTGTAAACAGACGAATTGAAGGCCATAGCTATTAATACATGCGTTTCACGATAAAAGACTCAACAAAATGGTTATTTCGCGTTATGCTGTGTGAAACACAAGATCGTACAATTATTACCATTACTACTGCCTACGTCATACTGTTACCTGTTTTCTTAAAAAGCACACATCGTGATTTTGTTCTTCTTGCATCTTGGAATGGTAAAATTACATATAATTTTCGAATAGCATGTCTTACACATGTATGTCGCTCCTTACTTTGTGCTGCAATCTTCCTGCATTTAACTGTCTTCGACGATGAATGTTCTAGCATGTTCGGTAATATCTTTGCGATAATAACAGTTCTTACTTTTTGCTTTGCTTTTTTTTATTCTGACCCATCAATCCCATATATTTTGTATCTCGGCATCATTTGTTTGTGTTTAAATAATAGATAATATATACTAGTGCCAATTGGAGGGTAAAACAAATCATAAATATTTAAAATTACGTCTTAACTGCAAAGCGTAACTGTACTGTACACGCGTACAGGGATTTGTTGATATGTTTCCATAGAAGAAAAATCAATAGGTATATCATTAAAATATCAATAAAATGTTCAATTGATTTGAAAAATATTTATCATTTAATTAAGGAAAATTATTCGCATGCCTAAATATTTTTTAAAAAAGTGGTCTCGGTAACAAATTGTTTGTTTCTAAAGTGATAATGACGTTTTAAATCTAGCTTTCACCTTTCCTCAATACATATATACACTATAGGGCATCGGTAATGATTGACGTTAACCGAACACTGCCATACTGTCAGCGATAGAATTGGCTATACTTCGAGTGAAATCGAGTAACTCTCATCTGTTGTCACAACAGGAACTCTAAATCAGACATCATCTGTTGTCACCACAGGAACTCTCAATCAGACATCATCTGTTGTCAAAACAGGAACTCTCAACCAGACATCATCTGTTGTCACAACAGAAACTCTCAATCAGACATCATCTGTTGTCACAACAGGAACTTTCAATCAGACATCATCTGTTGTCACAATAGGAACTCTCAATCAGACATCATCTGTTGTCACAACAGGAACTCTCAACCAGACATCATCTGTTGTCACAACAGGAATTCTCAACCAGACATCATCTGTTGTCACAACTGGAACTCTCAATCAGACATCATCAGTTGTCACAATAGGAACTCTCAATCAGACATCATCTGTTGTCACAACAGGAACTCTCAACCAGACATCATATGTTGTCACAACAGGAACTCTCAATCAGACATCATCAGTTGTCACAACTGGAACTCTCAATTAGACATCATCTGTTGTCACAACAGGAACTCTCAATCAGACAGAGTGTTTTGCTGCAATAAGCTAGGAAACCATGTGTATGTGAGCTCACCATAAATCGACTGTGGTGCTAGTACATGTACCTTAGGTTATATGTGGGAGTCGACGCTGAAATAATCACTTGCTGAGCGTAGGAAAGTGGCTCTATATTCTCTGTTTAGGTATTTGGCGTAGATATCGAATTTTGCAGGTATGTTGCAATTTGGGGTAAATGTTTAAATAATCTTAGAAATGTTGACGCCATAGTGAGAAAGAGCTATAAATCATTTAATGCTGTTTGGTCTCAGACAATTATTTAGTATAGCCACTTACTGGGTTACAGTATGTGGTAATCCGATCCGATTAATTTTATTAGTTATCAGATGTTCTAAAACAATTAAATCGCAGTTTCTTAACTCAATCTGCTTTAATGTATATACTGAAAAACGTTTGAGTTGACAAACATCAAAACCTGATTATCTTAGACATTGCCGGGTCGGTAAAATTAACAAATTATCGGCTAAACAAAATATGCCTTACATTGTATTATACTGCTTTTATTTGTGATATAAGAATACCCGAGTTCTTAAATTGACCCTGACTGGACACATTTAAAAATGGCTGTGGTCAAAGACTTTAGTAATAGGGTCATCTGTATTCACTTCATCTTTCGGGAAACTGGAAAGAAATTGTTTTTAATTATATATGCTCGCCATGGTGAACCAAACTAAATTACACACTTTTGCTCTAGATCAATCCAAGTATCTTGGTTAGCACACACTTTTTGCGTTGTATAATACACACAATTAAAAAATAAAATCCCTAGCTCAATTGCAAATATTTATTTCGATTTCAGAAAACATCATACTTTCTAAGACATAAATGTAAGATAATGTACGTGTATACAATGACACGATTGTCCTAGAGCAAGGCACGTGCACAATAGATATTTTAGGATCCATACCCTAATGTGTTTTTTCGTATATACATTAACCTTCCCTTGATTTCATGTTGGAAATATCTGTAGCACAAGTGTATGGAAACATTTCTGTTGAACAGGTACATGTAGCTCAGATGGTAAGAGCGATAGTACCACGATCATAAATGCGGGGTTCGAATCCCAGTCTAGACCTGCTAAATTATTACACTCTGAACATGGTTGTTCATATCGTCTTCATTATATTTTTCATAAAAGCCCCGTAAGGTATGATTTATTAAACCTATCATCATCCCGGTAAATCAGTAAACATTGCATAGTTTGTCAGTGATACATTGATCCTTGGGCATCTCTAGAAGCGATGTCTGTGCTGTAGTATGCACGTGTTATGGCACTAACACCTAACCGTTGACAATAACGACCTATGATAAACACAGCACTTATACAGCATTTAGCATATACATCGATGTACGTACTTTACACACCACTATATAGTAACTTATGATAAACTTCCTGTGATATGTTCACAGATGTGGTAACAAAACAGAACAGAACCCAGTTGGTCAAGAAGTTATTAGCTTAATCGGGGATTAGCGCAATCTGTTGTATATCTTTAAACACAAACTCTAAATAAGTTAAAACTTCACAGAAAGCTATATTTGATTACAGAAAACAATGTATGCAAAATAAGGATTTACCTTGAAATATTTTAGGTTAAAAACGTCATTAAACAGTGATTAGGTTTATCATCTTTTGAACAACTGGGTCAAGATTGCATAAAAATAAGAAATGTTATGGATTGTCAGCTACAATAAAGTTTTGATGTATCCACGTAAATATTCAGATACAATTTGGATAGCAAAACATTACAATTCTGATATGGTATTGATATTACATAGTTCAGTAATACTGAAGTGTCGCAAAAATATAATTCGATAACATAATGGCAATACAAATTCAATTCCAAAGAAAAATTAGCATGGGGAGCATTGTAAAAACATGTACGAAAATGAAACCCCAATTTTTCCTGAAGGGTAAGCGTCTCTTGCTTCATCGAAGTAAGGAGTAATGATCGATACAAATATTTAAGAATGAATGAACCATTAAGCTACAATAACACAACACATATACATGTATATTGCATTTATGGATCTAGTACAAAACATTTAAACAATATATAGTGTTTGCATTTGTTTTGTAAAGGAAATGACTGCCGTTGTTCAGAAATCTAAACGATGATTAATTTTCTTAATCTATCTTACGTTATTATGTAGAAAATCAATCAGTGTTGTTAAGACATTGATACTGTTGAAAGATAAAAAGTAAATGTCCTAATGTACACACGTACACAACCTCCCTTGAATTGAAACACACACTCATACACCCTCCTCATCTTAAACAAATCTGGACTGACACAAAATGTATTTAAAATTTCATATAAAGTCATGGTCAAAAACAAAAGGTATATATTGCAATTTTGACTTCTCTAGAACATCGTAAAACTTCACTAATAGTGGGGTATAAATTCAAGTTCCACAGTTTGTCCTTTCCGCCCTTTTAAAATCACAATAAACGTTCAAATGATGTCAATATGATCTAATTATAGTCCATATGTTAATGTACCCAGTCATATCAATCTCGTTTTGATGAGTCATTTATTCACTTTTTATAAACGTTTGAATATGCCAATTTATAATTCAGGATCGGTTGTCATACTGAAGCTGTATTATTTGTAATATTGAAAGCGATATTCACTTCTTTCCTCCGTTCAACCGATCTTTTTTCCCAGGGCTACGGTTCTCGTTTGTTTATATAAGCAGCAAAAATAGAATCAGTTGCTGCCGGTGAACGTTAACATGACTGGCATATATTTGAATATCTACGGTAGCAAATGTTGATTAAGTCTTATGTTTGCATCCAACAATATTTACATCAACAGGTATTAAGCACAGTTGCATTGTTGACTAACTTTTTCCTGACATCACAGTTTTTGCTTTTGAAGGGTACTGTTATTGTTTGGAAGTGAATCATGCTATATGCAGTATTTTGATTGTTCGTTTGTCTTCTTCAGATAATGTGTTTTTATGCTGAGAAACGCAGACGATCTTCTGCCTTGAAGATACATGAAGGTTCCAAGGAAAAGACACATCACAATCATTGTATGTTTTCAAGTCGTCACCATTCAACGACAAAGTGAAAATTTTCCCCGAATCCCATGACGTCACCATAAGCTGTGAACCTGTGACACATATCCCAGTGCAGAAGCCTATTCGACCCTCGGCGACCTTCCAGAGAGTTGTTCCGTCAAAATCCAAGCATCTGATATGCGGATCGGGATAGGTTTGATCAGTTATGAAAACTTTCTTCTTCGATGAGATCAGTGTAAGGTAAGTGAACTTCGTCCTTGCGTAAGATTCCTCTAAAGTATTCATCCAGACCTCGCCATCGGTTTCAAATAGTTGCAAGTCGGAGCTGGAGCATACAGCCACATGTTCTTCATCAGATGCCACCGCCTTACATGCGATATTTGTCTTTAATTTTCGATCGACTTCAACGAAGCCATCTTGTAGTACGTCACACTTCATGAGTTCCCGCGTGTCTGGAATCGACATCATCACGTGATCTTGAGTCGAGGAAATTGATGCTACGTCATACGGTGCCGGATGGATGTTGGTTTTACACAGAAAATCGAGGGAAATGCTAAAAACGGACACAGCCTCATTCGTATGGTCAATAAGAAGCAGCTTTCCCGATGGTAGAATTGCGATTCCTGTTATCCATGACGGTTTTCCTTGGAAACGAAGTTTGACTTCTTGTACCGGATTCTCCTTATGACTTTGAATAAGCGATTGATCTGATGCTTGTGTTCTTTTCCTTGTTGCGTCTTCCGTTTCCTCCGCTGACTTTTCTTTGGTGTTTTTCGCCTTTGCAGCGTCCTCTTGTATGTGAAGTTTGCCAAAACAATCAAACTTGGCAACAAAGTTCTTTATGACTGGGTTCATGATGAAAGCTATCATCTCTTGCGTATTTTTCTTCTCTGCTTCCTCAATCATAAGTTTTGTACTCTTGTACTCGGATTGAACAGCGTCGATGAAATTATCATCAATATTCTGTTTCTTATCAACCATTTTCTGAATCCTTTCTAGTGAAAGCTGTGATTTTTCAAGGCATTTTTCTAATTTCCGTTTGTCTTTCTCCAACTTTGCATAATTTTTTGTTTTTATCTTTGCCAGTCGAGTAAGTGCTTTCTCTTCATGTTTGTTTAGCAATTCATTGATTCTCTTTCTCATTGATATGATATCGTCTCGAACGAGTTGCTCTGATTTTGATAAAGACTCCAATGTATTGCGTCTCTTGTCTATTAAGTGCTCAATCGAGTTACATTGCTCGAAAAGAAGGTCCATGTGTTGTTTAACGCAGTTTGCTTTCGTTGAATTGCTTGATGACATTTTCTTCGTTTTGTTAATATTAGAACGTGCCTCTTCTCGCGTGATGACGTCAGCACAACGTCGATGTTTAAGGAAACACAAAGAACAGATAAACTGAGCATGATCGGCACAGAAAAATTCGAGCTCTTTTTCTGGATGATCTGCACAGGTTTCTGTAGTTTTTCTTCTTGGTGTTTTATAGGCATCGATCATTGTACTCACCACGTGGTTATTTTCCAGCTGATCTGCCCATACTTCCGGATTATTTCTAACATTCGCAGGCACAGAAACATGACGTCGACAGATTGGGCAAACATATCCTTTTCGATCCCCTGTTTGAATTTTTTTCTCGGTTATAAACCTTTTTATACATTCCCTACAAAATGTATGTAGGCAGGGTAACGCTTTAGGTTCCTCAAATATTTCAAAACATATCGTACATGTGATTTGATCCTCTGCTGTCTCTATGATGGCTGTTGCCATTGTGACTTTGACGTACTCCACAGCCACAGGGTCTGAAAACAAAAATATCGATTATTCAGTTTTGCAAAGGTTTGAACGTTTGCAGAAGGATGTCATATATGAGTAACTATACAAAACCATCGGTTTTTTATATAAGAAATTAATGTTACAGCAGAAATATATTTGATATTTCGCTTTGAAGATGGTTTATGAGATTTTGATTTGATTCTACAGATTTATAGGTCTCGATGAGATTTATGAAAAGTATTCTCGTCATTAATAGTGCAATTTATGTAATAACGTTCATTTTATAGAATAGGAAAGTAAACCCTCTTACAGGTTATATTACATGCACACTTCTAGGATATCAATTGTGGAGTATCAAGTGTCTATATAAATAGACAAAAGGCACGGTAGTCTAGTGGCAGGACGCCGGGCTCGTGACCGAAGGGTTGTGGAGTCACGGCACGACACTGTGTCGTACCTTTGAGCAAGATACATGTACTTTACTCAGCTTGTTCCAGCCTACTGGTTGGGCAGTGCTAAAATTATTTAATGCTAGCTGTGAGCGCCGAAATGGTAGCACCGACAGTACGCTCCCCAGAGAGTTGAAAAAGAAAGTGGCTGGTTGCAAAAGCCCCATAATTACGGATATCAATTTGCGACCGATTTGAGACGACCTACGAACTAGGTTATGATAAAACGGTATATAAGAACCTCGAATTACAAGACTGTATCATTATTATAACAGATAGCATTCAGCAAGGTAAGATAAGTAACACATCTTCTACAGCACTTATAACAGAAGTTTTATAATCCTCTGCTGTTTGTGCATATTTGAACACTAAAAAGGGTTACATATCGTAACTTATTACTATATTTTTCATATGAAATGTATTTGTGAAGTAATTAATACTTCTAGACTTGAATATAATCATAAAGTTAGCTAAAGCGAGTGCGGATACAATGTGAGCATTACGTTAATACATTACAAATGTACCTGGTAGTGTTAACAGCTGAAAAATATATTATGACTTATCCATAATATTATTCAATTATAGCCTTTGGCTGAGGTCGATACCTGGATTTATCGACCCGAGAAAAGATATATTGACCGAGGACGCAGTATATAATATATCTTTTCTCGGGTCGATAAATCCAGGTTAAAGGCTACAATTGTTTTTTTTTATTTTACAAAACAGTAATGTAAGCAATTTGAAAAAAAAAACACAACAAAAAAGCTTCGGATGTGAGACGGTGCATTGTTTGGAGACACGTCATAATTATTTTTTCAGAAACACCCAGTCCTTCAACAAAAATCACGCGCTCCAAGTCAATATCGGTTTTTATCGGTGGACACGTGATGTACTCCTGGCCAATCACTTGTCGGTAATAATATGAAAAAATAATAAACCAACATAAATCAGCACACCGTGTAGGCTGTTTATCAATAGTGAAACTTTACTGTCAAAAAACCCCACATACATGTATGCATTAAAAAGATACATTGAGATAAAAAAAGGATCTGTTAAAACGAAAGAAAACAAGCTTGTGGTAAAAGTCCAGCAGATTAACGTCAAACAACAAATGAAATAGATATATTATATCATTATGGACTTTAGTGCTGGTGAATATGATGTGATATGAATAATAAACAGTTATATTAACAGAGGCGAGACCGAGGTCAATATCACTTTGTTAGGTTCATATCACATCATATTTACCACCACAAAAGCCAATAACTGTTACTATATGTTTCAACAATACAATTTGTATTGTTCTGGAACGAGACTACGTGTAAAATTAATCCAGGACGGAATACATCAGTTCAGCATTGTAGCCTTCGAAGATATCGTCAGGGTACTTTTCCTTAAGATAAACATGTAGGACACGCAATGCGTGTTCGGTGGCCTTTTTATGTTAAACATTTAATCTTCGAGTAGTTTTTGGAAATGTTACGAAGACGAAGCGTTCGCCAGCAGCCATCTTCTTTTGTCGTCTGACAGATCGCGTTCCGGTGTCACTGCGCATTCGCTACGACAGGTAGGGGCTATATTTAGAAATCGATATTCAGCGCATAAACAGTCTATATGAGTTTTTGGTAATAATAATAATAATAATAATAATAATAATAATAATTGGAGAATCGTATATACAGCTGTATCACAACCTAGTTCGTTGTTCGTCTCTAAGCGGTTAATACATTATTATCTGTGGTTATAGGGCCTTTGCAACCAGCCAATACTTTTCTCAACTCCCTTTGGACCATACAGATGGTGCTGCCATTTCGGCGCTCACAGCTATTATTCAACAATTCTAGCACTGTCCAACCACGTACTCATTCACAGCTGAGTGGACTGGAACAAGCGGAGTAAAATATCTTGCTCAAAGATACAACACATCGAGACGGGACTGGAACTCGGAATCCTTCAGTCACAAGCCTGACGTCCGACCACCAACTACTGTACCTCCTATGGGGCACGGGAGTCTATTATTGAGAACTGATCACGTGTATAGGATCCGACCAATGTGAATGCGATAAATCGTCAAGCCTATAATAATACAGAATATGAAACGTATGTTAGATACCATCAATATATCGCTTAATGCGAAATTGCGGTAGACTGCATTTTACTACTCACTTATCTACCCTAGTTTACAACTTAGGACCAGACATCTAAGTGATCAAAAATAAGAGTTAATTATGTTTCTAAATCATCAATACCTTTATGATATTCTAGAGACGAGGGCCAGTCAAAAGGATTTGACACGTATGTTATTTTCTGTCTTTGAAAGTTCAGCATATTAAAATATGAACAAAGTAATGGTTGGGTTCTCTAATAGCATTTCGTATCGTTAAACAAATTACATGTAACAAAAGTTTTGCAAGCTTAAATTACATTTATGAATACTTTACAATTCACACACACACACACACACACACACACACACACACACACAGAGGGCATATACTTTGTATATAATACAGGAAAGGGGAAATTACCCCTGTCGATTATTACTACACTAAAAGATCAGGGGAAATAACTCCTGCCGATTATTACTACACTGATATTATACAAGTATGGTATTTATATCATACAACACAACTTATTTTTAACATAAAGTGTTATTATATCCAACTTCGATTAAAGTAAAGCAGTTTTAGTACCACAAGGATATGCAAATCTGTAAATAATTTCATATTCAATCGTTAAATCAAGAATCAAGGAATAAATCTTTGTACACCTGACCCTTGCATGTTAAAAGGGATAATATTCTATACAATGAAGCGTACAAGGACCTACTGAACATTTGTAATGCACGTGTAGTGTCTTGCACGAGGAAAAGGAAAGGAGAAAGACAAAATGGTCTGAAGATCTAAAGTAATGAAATGTCAATGATCGGTTATGGCAATATACAATGGAAAAGGTTGTATTGCTGTCAGAATACATTCTTACGTGCATTTTACACTGAGAGTCACCTGCTACTTCATCTATTTATAAAACTTAAAACAGAAACATGACACTTCATATATGCAGGTGTACTATACAATCAATCGCATACACTGCCTACGTAAAGACAGTGATTTGTATAGCAAACATACAAATAAACTTGCATAAATTGAAAGTTTTTTTTTAATACCACAGCCAATTGACACCACGTGCGTTGATATAAATTATAAGTATACACTGCACGTATCAATGTGTTTCATACCGAACACAGTATGACCACATATCTATATATAGTATACAAGATGTACATAGATATCGATGAGGTAATCCAACATCCAGCTGTGACAGACACTTACGCTATAACATAGATAAAACTCTGTTATTCTGTTCCACAATAAAATTTCTTAATATATGTTACTATCTAACATATAATTAAAAATCGGATATATTCCTTCACAGATACAGTCACTTAAAATTATCTTCTAAAGAAATTATCTTGCTAACGACACTTATCACTGTGCTTAATTTCCTGTTATCAGATGTATGGTGTAGCATACTGTACATTACTTTTTGCGAACTGGAGTTGTCCCCCTTAATCAACGCATGCATGTTTTGATGTCCAACGCTACCAATCGCTTTATGTCATCACAGTTACCATGTAAAGCTGTTATAGCTTCCAATACAAGGTGATATACACGCACAACATCACAATAAGAACACAGCCATTATTCTGTTGCCAGGCACAACAGACAACACTATTACATCAGTCGCTTATTTCACTGACACATACAATATATATATGAGTCGCTCATACAATGTATTCGTGTGAAATATATCAGGATGTTAGCGTTTCTACTTACCTGTAATATACCTTAACGATCTGTCCGTACATACAACCGTCGAACAACATTCCCAGGTTTATAAGTTGTCCATGTACTAACCACCGCCCATGCTAAATATTACGAGTGTAAGTGTTGAAGTGTATGTGTACTAGTATCAGTCAGTCGGTCGACTTCCCTGTTGATCGATCCGATTATTGATTTTTAAAGCACACTATACTCTCCTCGAAAGGCGTGAACCAGTCGATGCGGTTTTAAACTACCCTGGATAATACGGCGACAAATACAGACCTGAATTAAATACCTCGTTACGTTTCAGGTGTACACATGTGAAATGACATCCACGTCCACACAAGGACACATGCCTTGCTTACTTCAGTCGGTCATTTAAATGTAAACAATTTTTACAAGAAATTCAAACAGGTATTTGATGCAATGCAATTATTTTAATTGTATAACATCCCGATGTCTTAGGTTAGAAAATGAATACACTCCTTTTGTTCAATTTGACGAGACTTACTCAAATATGCCTACTTTCATAACTCTCTTGTTGTAAGTAAAACAAAACAACAAAATATAATGGACCAGTTTTTTCATGTAGCTTCTCCTAGGCTAAATGCAAGTGGCTATTAGCATGCGAGGTACGACCTGGGCAACGAATCCTGTTTAAATGATAAACATACTGATGTTTTATCAACCGACATCTAAAATTACCCGGCTTGAAAAGCGTTAAAAAATAAACTGCATTTTACCGTATGTGTTAGTATTGTTCGTGTGCACTCAAACATAGTTTACATGAGAAAACAATATATTTAAATACACGTAGATATATTTGTTCACAGTTTTGTTGCATGTAATGCGTACACGAATAACTATTTGTTCACAACCGTTACTCACATGTTGGTCTTTAATTCACTACAACTCCCGTTTACCATATGAATAAGCTTAACGAGGGGGATAGCGATAACCTAAGCCTAAATCATAATTAATAACTGTTTATGTTTTCTATGTTGTAGTATTGTTTCGTAGTGGCAGTTTATCTCTTTTTAAATGTTGTGATATGAAAGTTTTACATATATGTGTCTTGAAAAAGAGGCGGATTGCCCTGAACGTTTGCCAGATTCCTATGTCTACATTGTCGTTATCATTTCTTTACCATAGTTCTGACTTCCTGATAGCAGGTGGTAATGTGGGACACACAACGACGATTCGGTCTCCGACCGCAGTGATCGTGACGGCTAACACATGGTAGCATGATCCTTGTTATAAAATAACTCATCAATAACAAAATTAACATTTTTACGTGATACTTATAATATGAGTTGTTTAATGTATTAAACATACAGTATGAAATGTGATAACCATACAACTAAACTAAGTTACTCATCTATAATTAAACTGATATACTTTAATAAGCAAAAAAACCCATCAATTTCTAAACGGATTAAGACAGCATTTTATCCCATTCCGTAACTTTCATACTAAAAGCTGAATTTCAATTTCTGCTCTCTGTTTAAAAGATGTGTTGGAGTAATAAATGAATCTTCTGGTAAGAAATGATCAATACTTAAACAGAAACAAGACAGCTGTTGTTTATATTCAATCAAATACGAAATAGAAATTAATTTAAGACAAAATATCAAGAAAAGTTTAATTTAACTTATTTTTTATTGTGAAAATTCCACCCGATTGGTTTTCAAAATTGGTAAAACCCGAGGCTTTGCCGAGGGTTTTGCAAACTTTGAAAACCCCGAGAGTGGAATTTCCCTATCCTATACCATTGGGCATGGAAGAGTATTTTTCTCTTTCATTCCAACCACTAGAAATAGGGTGTAAGATATACATATCCTACGCTCCTTTTTACCCTGGACAGCTCTATCTTACACACAGGGAAATGAGAGAAATATCACATTCTTACTGTAAGTTTGATGTATTTCGGCATTACTTTGTGTGAACCAGGAGTTGTCCCCCTTAGTCTATGACTCATTTTCTGTACATGCTCAAGTTTTTTTTTCTACAAATTCAAGTTCTTTATTACTTTGAATCTTTCGACTCATTAGTTACAAGTAAAAAAAAAGTTCAATATTAACAGTGCAAAATACAAAAAAACCAACAAATATACAACATTACACAACGTTACACACCCTTACTAAACAATTTCAAATAGAAACAGTATCATATGTTTGGAAAGTGCAACTAAGCTATTTATGATAATTGGGTTCTTCTCGAATTTGAAACTTTAAATATTTCCCTTAAATTCGTTATGTTTTTTTGTATTTTTCTCACCCAGTAGTCCTATCAATTTAAACATGCTTGGATTTTTTAATGTAATAAGTAAACGCATTTTCAAATGTGTGTACACCGCTTCATAACACTTTTTATAGTAAACAGTAAAATTTAACCACAAAACAACTTCAACACAACTTCAACACAACCTGCTATATATATATATATATATATAACATGACATCAGTAAGTGACAAGTATTACGAAATCTGACAGGTGTTACATGATAACACCTGTCACTAGTTTAAGTAATGCATACTCTGTTGTAATTTATGGGGACATTAACGGGTCTACCTATATGTAAAATGCAATTAGATTTTTTCGACACGTACAACCGACAAACGAGTTTTCTCTGGGATTTATCAGGTTATCAATGCTTTATATTATGTCTTTTCGTGTCAAAATCCATTTTGTCGATCGGGTTATTGAGTTTGAAATGATATTTTATTCCCTTCAAAATGAGTGAACCTTTCGACGCAGTTTGTGGTAGATATCATATTTCTCGCCTGTGTCAGCTTTGACCATAAATAGTAAATAAATTGAGAAACAGGGCAAGACTTTCAAATTATGATTATGTACCATCTTTATTACACAAATACTTTTGTTATATTAATGACTTACAATTCATTTAAGAGTAACCAACTATATTGTGACAGAATAGGTAAGGAGCGCGAAAACGTTGGAAAAAAAATAGCAAAGCCCGCATTGGTCAGAGTTGATTATTTTCCAACATTTTTGAATCCTGAGTAATATACTCTGACATACTCAGCTGATATATATGAAATGTAACGACGATGTGTTACCTGTCTACGTCTACTTCTGTGGCTATATTATACAACGTCACTTGATTGTGCAATTATTAAAATCATGTTGTTCTTTTGTACATGCAAACATTTGTCACATGATTAATTTTACAACAAGCTGTGGGTTATTATCATTTTTGACGCCGTAAGTAGTAACATCTTATGTCTGTTTAATGCAGATATTAATGGTAAGGATTATAGGTGTCTCGTAATCTGTTGATTCACCTGTTATATAGGAGCAAGCAGAAGAACCAAGGAAAACGCATCGTACCCGCTGCCTGCACGAGACCCTTCACCCTGGGGAGATTGAGCGACTTTTTATATTTTATATAGCGGTTGAACGTCAATAACTTTTGACAAGATACTTTGATAAAAGACTTCTTCTCAATGTTTGGGTCTAAAAACATCACAGACTTCAGTTAGAGTCGTTTATTCTTTCCTTAATTTGATATCCAACAGATCATAAATACTGATGTCTGCTTTATAAAATTATGCTTATTTCAATCAAAAACATCCGTTTATCCACATCGCTCGTCAACACATGAAATCAATACGCGGATGTGTTTTATAAGTCGTTATATCAAAATATATGCGTGTGAAGCATCTGGTGGAATGATGCATTTGCATAAGTTTCTAGAAAATTACATCAACTCACATGTATTTCCGTCACAAACCCCACGGTAATTAACCAATGAAAAGTGTCGTGGTATTATCATATATTGTCCAAGCATTGATAAGGTCATAAATGCACATAAAGACATATGATTCTTAATGAGGCACGTCATGCACATGTGTACGATTTGGAGGGTTTTAACAATGTTACATTGCGAGAGATATACTGATATGTTAATTCGCTATTACAAATATGTATCACAATTGTCGAGGACATTTAGTTTCTTTCGTAAATTCAGTCTTTTTAAATTAAAGTAAAATTCATTGATAATGTTTGATTATTTATTTTTGTAGTGTAAAATAAATATGTTTCAATCTGAAATCGCACGACAGAATGTAGAAAGATCATAAATGTATATGCAGAATATATTTTGCTAAATACAAATAGGGATGAAAGATGAACAAGATTGATTTTTTAATTAAATAAACACATCAATGCAAATATTCTTTTTCGTCTTACCTCAAGGATTATAACTTCTGTCAGTGAGCAGTACGTTTAAGAATTAGTCAGCTAAAGCCATGAAACAACAGAAGGAATATATTCTAGTTCTTTGTGTAAAACGACAATCATTGCTTTTTTAGTATACTCATTAGTGCACTTTGTTGTCAAATAAATATCTTGTGTTCGATTTGACCTAGATTGATACTGAGGGTGTCGTCGATGAAGCAGACATGGTCTACAGTTCTGAAACTCTGAAACATCTGATATTGTTCTCCTTGTACTTGCTGAGGGTTATCCAAGCAACTCTTCTTTTTTTTCTCTCCTAGTTTTGTCGATTCTCATTTTTTTAGTTGTGGTTTTGTTAACACTTCAATCTTCTCTTGTTCTCATTTCTCTTATGTTACCTGATAAATACATGAACAAAGTCAATAACAATAAACTGTATAACTGTTGTAGCAAATGTTGTATCTTTATAACGCTATGAGAGGGTTTACGTTCTCCTCTTATATTTACTGGGATCAGAAACAGTACTTTTATAGCTCGTTTTAGCTACGAAGGAATAACAAAGTGGACGCTTCCAATAATATTCATTAGAAAAACGCCATCAGTGTTTAAAAGGGTATGATGATTCCACAGCCTGACTGAAGGAAACTTGGGAGGATGGTGTGTTCACGTGAAAATTATATTGCTGGAAATATCTCTGTAATTATTTTTTCGGTTTAATTACCTGACCGCATGAACACTTTTGATTGGCTGACGACCTTATTAGATTTTTTTTTTTTTTTTCATGAGCGATTCTCAGGGGGAAATTCAGATAAACTTACCTCGAGTGACATATTGTATACGAAGTCAGAAGTTAAAAAAAAACAACATTGTATATAGTGAATACAATGAATTCTACCACGTCTGTGATGTAACGACGGTTTTCATTGGTTAAAAAGAGTGCATTATTGAGCGATATACCATGCGAGTGCCAATAACCAATGCACGTGAAATAGTGTGCAC